GCTCTTCCGATCTCCCCAAAACCCCAAAACCCCTCAAAAATTCAATCAATAAAATTAAAGGGTGAATTTATTATAATATAAATTGATTTGTGAAATGAAAAGACTTTTTAGACCACTACTAGATCAACTGCATAAGACTTATGAGAAATCTACTTTCTGTAATTTTCCTCTACACAATTTCTCCTAATCTACCTTTAATGATTTGATATATTAACTAAAAGTATTTAGACAAGGCTCCTAGGTCAAGATCAAAGATACAAAGAAGCTACAAATAGATAGACATCACAAAGGAATTCGAGATCAAACATAAGAGAAGAGAAAATGAAAAGGTCAAGAAATTAGAAGAACTTTATTAGTCTTATGATTAAAAAGCTCTTGAAATGAGAGACATAGTCTCTAAGCAGGTCCAAACTACTCCTTAAGGAAATTTATCAGATCAAAGCTAGGCCAGTGAAGTAACCTAGTTGGCTTAGTAAGAAGCTTACGACAAGATTATGTAAGAAATGAGAGATGAACGAGACAAAATTATTCAGCATTTTGATAAAGACAAAGATCTTAAACACAAAATCATTCTATCTGGTGTTAAGTAATGTTTTTCTCCATCATTTTTACAATTATATTATAGAAAATCTTGTGTGTTAACTGTCATAAAGTATCATTAGATCAAGCACAACTTATTCGAGGAGGTTAATGTACATCCTGAAATACTTAAAAATTTAGAAATACTCCACTATCATACAGAAAATAATTTACCTATTGAAAAAGAAGTAATTCCAATAATTTTCATCATTTAGCTAGTTTTTATGCTTGTGCCTGAGCTATTCGCTCATGAAATTAATAAACTGGATGTTGCTGACAGAGAGAGATTCAAGAAACCCTAGTTAAGCTATACTAGAGCAGATGGTGAACAGCTAGAAGTTGACTTGAAATTCAGAGAACTAAGATAGAATGACAAAGAAAAACTGTTTTCTAAGTCAATGCAAATGGAGATGTACATGTTTGAGTAAACTTCAGATGTATACAAGCTGTATTATGATCAATTATGCGATGAGATTTATTAAGGTGGACATGCTAGTCTCTTTGATTATCTGATATTATTAGAAGCTATGGATGAGGAAAATCGAAAGGACTGGGAAAAAAGACTTTTGAGCGAAATACAAGAATTGAGACTTATCAACGAAGATGTAAAAGCTTTAAGAGAGCATATAGCTGAAGCTGAAAATCCAATAGAAATACCAGAGTTTATAATGGATCCTCAGATTAGAGCAGAGGCAGAATAATTACTGAAATTTGCAAATAAGTACGAGACTTTTGATATTAGAGATGTATGAAGAAAAAGCTATTTTATTAACAATATAGACTGCATTAATTCCAATTCCTAAGTATAGACCCGATTTTGATGAGAGGTTGAGAGAAAGTATGGATGTAGAAGCTATGATTGAAGAATGTATATTCCTTATCTTTAATAAGTAAAATTAGCATAGCAGGAACTAAGGGATTTTGCCAATAAAAGAATAGCATTACCAGCAAGAAATCTCAGTGAAAAAGACTAAGATCTACTTTCCAAAGTAACTATGATTGCATAAGCAGTGAAAGTTGACGCTCCTCCTGTAATTGGGCATGATGTAAGGCCAAGGTTTTAAACATACTTTCTAGATCAATGAGGAATATATAATTGAGGAGCAGTTTAGAAAAGAACTGCCAAGTGATAAGAGAATACTTGTTGATGAAGTTTACAAAATACTCTACTTCAATAATCAAGATCCAGAAATCGTATAACTTTTCAAATTAATGTAAATAGTACAACATACAATTTTGGTCAGACTATTTCAAAATACAGCCTGCAGCTGTGAGAAATATGGTCAACTATTTAGCTTATCCAATAATAGACTAGAAGACAAAAAGAGTAATTGATATGATGAGTTTTATCGATACTGAATTGCAAATGAAAAAAAGAATACTACTTGATGATTTGACAAGAGATAGCTATGCTAAATTCCTAGAAAACGATTTTTCAAGGAGGGTAGTAGAAGAATATGGAGATGAAATTGGACTATTTGGTAATGCTGTGGAATACTTAGGTGCTGAAGGAGAAAAAATATAATTGGACAACTACTTAAATGCTAAGGTTGAGCAGATTATTGGCGACCAGAAAATTATTCAAGATGTTGACAAGCAAATCAAATTAATTACAGATGGCTAGCAAAACGATTTCAGTAAATCCAAAAACCTAAAGCCAATAAATTGATTTTAATTAAGTTTAGGTATCTCCTACCATATCAAATTAAACATATGGGGTTTTGGGGTTTTGGGG